GCAGGTCTTTGGGAGATTGTTTGCACTTCCAGAAGTTGCTGGAATGAAAACTTCATGAATTTCACTTCCTCTGGCCTATATGTAGCTTACCAAATAACCTCCCTCAATATGTGTTGAGCATAAACCCTATGCCTATAATTTGGTATCCACATTTTTCTTATTGTTTTGTTTTTAATCATTAATCATTACAGTAATTCCTCATTTAACACGTGCCCGCTTAACACGTTTTTGCGATAGCACGATTTTTTTTTAGGGAACGTTTTTTGAATTACACGACCGTCCCCGGAATAACACGATTTCCCCAGCGTTACCGGCGGCTGCGCGGGGCTTCCCTGCATCCCTGCAAAGCGGCGGAGGGTTCACCACTCGCCGCGCCGTTCCCTACTGACTCCCCCTCACCAGACTCCTTGCCCTCTCTCCTCCGCCCCCGCTTGAAGGCCGGCGACTGGGTTTCCCCGGTCTGCCCGTCACCGGCAGCTGCGCGGGGCTTCCCCCGCGTCCCTGCAAAGCGGCGGAGGGTTCGCTGATCGCCGCGCCATTCCCCAGCGACCCCCCCCCTGCTGGATGCAGTGCGGGTCCCAGAAGACCCGTCACAAGGGTATACTCCCAACACAATCCTCCTCCCCTTCTCTTCCCCAGAGCCAAACACCTCCCCTCCCTGCCGTAACCCAGTCCCCTTTCTCCCCCAACCTTATGTCCCGGTCCCACCAGACACCACCACTTGAAACGCAACCCCCACCTTTTCCATTATTTTCAATGGGAAAATTGACCCCGCATAACACGTTTTCACGTAACACGATCATTTTCTGAAACATATCTGTAGTGTTAAATGAGGAATTACTGTACATCAATGGATGAATTTTCATCTAAGTTGAAGGAGGCTTGGGTGGAGTTTATAGCCAAATGATTATATGAACTGACCCATGATCCAATATGTCCTCCTCCACACCAGTTAAGTAAGCAACTTTTAATTATTAGTGCTAGATTCTGCAGTGAAAAGGCTTGTTGCCATAGACGGTGCTGAGCATCTTCATCTTCCACTGAAGTCCATAGCAGTTGTGGATGCTCAGCCTCTCTCAAGTTAAGACCCTTAGAAGATTATTTGGGTATATGTCTGTCATCTGGACCAATGGTGACAGGATTAACTGGTTAGGTTCTTCCAGGATAGGAATTACTATCTCCCCTATTGCATTTGATTGTTTACTCAAAGTGTCTGTCTTTCCACATGTTTTCACTTCAGCAGCCGGTGGAACTTAGAGGGGGACATATGCGTGAGACCATGTAGAGGACAGCACTCAATGTTAGTGTCTCGGGGCGAGCACTCACCCCACGGCGCCTCCCCCGGCTGCTCTGGGAATCAGCTTTTCAGCCCTGGAATGCCCCTTTCAGCAGGTGTCACGCCTGCTGGTACCATCCTAGGTCAGTGCCCCTGCACTTTAGGGTCCTCCCCTCCCATGGAACCCCAATCCCCCTATACCCACCTTGCTTCAGTGACCCACTGGCAGTCGTCATCTAGCCCCTGCCACAGGGGCAAACTGTTGTATGAAATGGCCCTTCATCATTGGCAAGGGGGTGTGAACCTGCTACCTTTGCCTATCCTGGCTACCCCCCTGCAGCCTTAGTACCCTTAGGCCTTGTCTCAGGCCCTGCAGCCTGAGAGTGAGGTCAGGCCAGAGCTCCCCAGCTCTGCTTGACTTTCCTTAGCCCTGGTCTATCTATAGCCCTAGTATTCCCAGGCCACGAGGTCAGGCCAGAGTTCCCCAGCTCTACATGCTTTTCCCCAGCCCTGCTCTGTCTTAGGAAGCCTCCAGGTTCCCTGGCAGCCAGGTCCCTCCTGCTCCACAGCTAGAGCAAGCATGTGTGCTCTCCTTGCCTCCAGGAGCCCTTATTTATACAACCCCAGCTGCACCATAGTATCTGCCTCAGCTGTGGGCTCTGCTCTCTCAGCCCTCTCCCAGGGCTGGGTTTCAACCCTCATAGGGTCATTGTGGAGCAGATGCCCCATCACAGGTAAGGTACATGCCACACAGAACGTACATCTTTGAAATTTCCTTTCCAATGGCTCATTCATGCAGTAGTGCCCAAGAAAGTTTAAATTGTGGAAAGAAATTCATTTCAGTGTTTTCCAACATTAAAAAATCTGCTAATGCAGTGTCTTATGAAAAAAACAAAACCTGCATATTTTTTGCTTAGCATATTATTCTAAAAGGTTTGAATAATGGGAAATATTTATCAAGTATTTTCATTTTTTGAAATATTAATTAACATTAGTAATTCTGAGTACCTCTCCGTCTATGTCTGAGCAACTACCTTGTTGAAATACAATGTTATATATTACCTAGCAGATGTAAAAGATGTGACATTTTCCGTGTTCCACTGCAGAGGAGTATGTCAGTATCTAGCACCTCATATTTAGTAACTGCCTTAGTCATAGAGATGTTTTTTTTTTCTTTTTGTCTTTTTTGTAATTTTAAAGGTGGAAGAATTAACAGCCGGGACGTGTGGATTTATAACTCTCAGCTTAACATTTGGATCAGAGTTGCTTCCCTAAACAAAGGCAGATGGCGTCATAAAATGGCTGTCCTTCTTGGTAAAGTAAGAGAAATATTTTATTACTTATTGTGGCAAATACATTTTCCAAATAATAAGCAAAACTTAATTGTAAAACCAGATGTAACTATTTAAAATTCAGATCGCATTTCCCATCAACCTCTGTTGATTTTAAATAACCGATGAATTATGGTCTGAGGTTTGCAGTGTCTGTAGAAACTGGTGTTACCTAACTTTGATTTTGTTTCTTTGCAATGGAGCGCTGTTCCGATACACTGTGAAAGGGAGACAAACGAGCAACAAATTATACCTCTTCTTAAACATGTGGTTAAACATGTGTCCCAAAATAAAACTGGGCCTCAGACACCTTTGATCTGCAAGTCTTTCGCTTATGCAACTACTAACTCAAATTGATACTGATCTTAGCAGCATACCCGGGCCTATGAGTCTGTCTGTTTGCTCAAGTAAAGAAAATTGTAGAGATGTTTTATAGAGCATGTTTATGTAAAAAGGAAATCCTATGTCCATATTTGTAATGTATGCTCCATTGGCTCCGGTATCTCCACGTACTAATGTTTGGTTGCTGTCTTGAGATTGTTTAGCTGAGTGGCTGAAAAGGCAGTATTCCTATTCTGTATAGAAGTTTTCAGTGGGGAGGCGAAACCTGTGCGATCAGAAATACAGCAAATCAGAATTGAGACCCTGAAGCTTTGAATCAGCTGAATCCTCTACTTGTTTAATTCAAACAGGAGATAAAGATAAATTGATTATATTTTCTCTGTGTTTTGCATAGGTGTATGTGGTTGGAGGGTATGATGGACAAAGCAGACTCAGCAGTGTAGAATGTTATGATTCATTTTCCAATCGATGGACAGAGGTAGCTCCACTTAAAGAAGCAGTGAGTTCTCCAGCAGTAACTAGCTGTGTAGGCAAATTGTTTGTGATTGGTGGAGGTCCTGATGACAACACGTGCTCTGACAAGGTCAGTTAACCCCTCATATTTGTTTCCTTTTTGTGTATCTTAATAATACTACTGAAAATGTAAGTCATACAGAGAGATTTTTAAACGGGATTACAAATCTCCTGAACTAGTCTAGTGCCTGAATGTAAAGTATGCATCACACAGCAGAAAAAAATAATAAAGCACAGTTTGCCATTAATATAGGCTTTGTCGTGGTTAAATCATCTTTGCATTCATGCATTCAGAAATATATAAGTTTTCAATAAAACAGCATATTTAAGTAAATAATGTAAAATACTGTATAATTTTATGTAAACTGATGCTGTTTAATATTCCTTGTTTTTAATGTTGCAGATTTACAGTAGCAATATCTTGAGTTACTTTGCAATCTTTTTGTGACACACTCGAACTAGATGCTGTTATTTCTAATCTCTTTCACTCAAAAACTTCTATATCTACTTCAGGTAATAAATTTGATTTTTGTTCATGTGGGATGTTAAACATAAAATGTGTTTGCCTGTTTCCAGGTTCAGTCATATGATCCCGATACTAATTCTTGGTTGCTCCGTGCAACTATCCCTATTGCAAAGAGATGCATAACAGCTGTGTCTCTAAACAATCTGATCTATGTTGCGGGAGGGCTCACCAAGGCAATTTACTGCTACGATCCAGTCGAGGATTATTGGATGCATGTCCAGAATACATTCAGCAGACAGGTAATAAACACTAAAATACTTGGAAACATTGAAAAATGTATTTTATCTTCTTTGTATTAATAATTTGCAATTAAATGAGTTTGATATGAAACTCACTTAAATAGCAGCTCTCAGATGCATTAGTTCTTGCTTTACATTTATTAAGATGAAGTTTTTTGTCATGGGTATTTACTAAGAGTCAGACAGGTCATGGGCAATAAACAAAAATTCACAACCTTGCCCACAATCTTTCTCTGACTTTTACTAAAAATATATGGGGAGGGGGAACTAACAGCTGGGGAAACTGGTCTCTGTTCTAGTCCTGCTGCTGCTCCTGTGATGGGGGCTGACTACTGCTGCTCCATCCCTGGCCACTGCTTGTAGGCTGACTCAGGCACTGGGTGGCTGCTCCACCCCCAGACTCAGACCCTGGTCACTGTTTCAACACAGTCCCAGTTTCTGCTCCAGTTCCCTAGCTACCACTCCAGCCCAGCCCTTGCAGCCACACCACCCCGGTCACTGCTTCAGCTCTGGAAACTACCCTGACTGCTGCTCCAACCCGGGCACTGCTCCTGCAGCAGAGCCAGGCAGCTGCTTCATCCCTGCTGCTCTGGTGACAGCTGAAACCAAAGAAATCATGGAGGCTAGTAAAGTCACAGAATTCATTTCCTCTGACAAAACTGTATTCTTACTAATTGCAGCCTAGACCAGGGGAGGGCAAAAGGGCCTCCACAGGCTGGATCCGGCCCACCAAGCGATTTGATCTGGCCTGTGGATGCCATGCTGCTCCCCAGTCAGAGCCTGGGGGCGGGAGGGAAGTGTGTGAAGTCTCCTCCCACCTGGCCCTGTCCTGCAAGGAGTGTGTGGTGCTTAGTAATGCTGCATGTTCCATGGCAGAGTGGTAGGAGATTTTGCACGCTCCTCCCACTCCCAAGCCCTGATTGGCCTGCTAGGGAGTTGGGGGGAAGGCACGAAGTCTCCTCCTGCCCTGCAAGGGGTGCGGCGCCCCTAAGCACTGCACATTCCTTACAGCAAGGGGACAGAGTGGGAGGAGACTTTGCATACTCCCCCCTCTTCCCCAGGCCTATCACAGCTTGGGGGCGGGGGGAGCGTGTGAAGTCTCCTCCCACTCTGCAAGGGGCTCAGCACTTAAAGTCAACCTCCAAGTGCTGCTCAGCTGGTGGTTGACTCTAAGCAGGGTGCTCCCTGGCAGGGCGGGGGCAGGGAGTGAGAGACTTCATGTGCTCTCCCTCCCTAGACCCTGATTGACCTGGGGGCAACGGGGGAGCGTGCGAAGTCTCCTTCCACTGCCAGATGCAGAGGTACCTAGAGGGAACTGCCAGCTGTTCAGAACAATTGGCGGTTCTTTCTGCAGGGGCAAAGACTGCATGCTCCTCCAACCCCAGACCAATCAGGGTCTGTGGGTGGGGAAGCACAGGCATGTCCTGGCCCTGCCCCTTCTGGGGTGGTGCAAGGCCACTTCAAAAATTTCTGAAGTGGCCCCCGGTCAAGAATTATTGCCCACCCCTGGTCTAGACACTAAAAGTCAGAGAAACATCTAACAGCACTTCTGGTGAGTGCTAGTGTGTTAGCATGGACAGTCTATTATGGGATACAATTTAACACTTCCAAACATAGATTGATACTAAATTCCATTGGCATTTTTATTTATTCAAATATTATTTGGTTGAAATTGAAGTTTTTAGAGTTACAAAATTATAGTAGGAAAATGTTTTAAACAGAGCATGAAATATGAGCAGAAAGCAGAGCATGAAAAGCAGCAGAAAGTTTCATAGCAATCTCTGAATGAGACCCCTGAGCAGAATTCCAGTGATATAGTTCTTTCCCTTGGTATACGATTTGTAAACTAGTTATCCTATAGCAATACATTCACTATATTTTTAATCTGCTAATAAAATACTATACACTTTAAAAAAATGCCCTGAAAGATAGCTGCTCCTGCCCTGTCCCCTCATTTTCTGTCTTTTCCTCTTACAATTTTCTGCATAATGTTTTCACTTTGACTCCCTCCTTCTTTCTCTCCTTTAGGGAAAAAACCTAGAAGATTTACCCAGCGTTGCTCAGGTCCTTCAAGCGGGAGTCAAGGCAGGGTTGGGAGACTCAGGGCAGGAGATGGTGGTGCTGCATTCAGGACAAGGGGCTGGGAGGTGTGATGGGGCATGAGGGTAGTGGGTGGGAGTACAGGAGTCGGCAGGGGGTGGGGGATTCAAAGGAGGGGTGGGAGGTGTGTGGGGGCTCAGGTCATGGGGTTGCAGGATTCAGGACCTAGAGGGCTCAAGCCAGGGGACTGGGAAGTTGAGGGGGGCTTACCAGGGACAGCCATGGCAGTGAGGATGGTGCTGCTCTGAAGACAGCTCCTCCAGGGGGCCAGGCAGTAATGCCCCAGTGGATCCTCCTGGAGAACAGACAGAGCTACAGCTCCTTCTGGGGTGGGGCTTTGCCCTCTGTGACTATCCAGCAGTGCCTCAACCCGGGGCTTACCTGTTGCTCCTCACTCCAGCCCTGATTTTGCCTCCAGCCCCTAACCTAACTGCCTCCAGCTGCTTCACCCCCTTGCTCAGTCAATTTCCACTCCCCTCTGATTTGTTCCCTTTGCCCCTTTCTAGCCCCCAGTAAAAAGCAGTCAACAGAAACTTACACAAAGTTAGGGCACAACAAAGGGCAGTGGTTTCTGCAGCGTTCCTGAGCCTGCTCGTGCACCCTAGATAGCAAATGCCTACAGAGGTCAATTTCCTACATTATACCAGCCAGTGGGCAGACACAGCTCCTTGCAAGTGATGGGAGCCAGGCTGGGCTGCTCGGTGGCTCCTCGCAAGGGGTAGGGACCAGGGATAAACTGCCCAGCAGAGATTGCTGCCGTGTGTAGGGACCGTTTACCTAAGCTGGTGGCCAGTAATATGGAAAGTCCTAGCCTCAGCTGGCCTCTCTGTTCCTGGTGCTGCTGCTCTCCCACCGTCGTCACTCTGCAGCATAGCTGTCCCCCACACTCGCTGTCTCCATTGGTCGTTGTGGAGAGACAGTTGTGCCTGCTCTCTCAGACTCCTCCCTTTTTGTGGAAAACAATTCCATTCCAGGCACTTCCCATTAGGGTTGTCAGGTGTCTGGTATTGGCCTGGCCAGTCCGGTATTTGCAGTTTCTGCCGGGTAAAAAAAAACAAAACAGAAAATAGCGGACATGTAAAAGGTCTGGTATTTTTCTCAGATGGAAGGCTGATTGGGACATTCTTCCCCCACCATGTTTGGCGGGGGTGAATGGAGTGTATGAGGATTTAAAGGGGCCGTGACTCTTTTTTGTGCAGGGTGTGGCTTTTTGGGGGGGGCTCAACAACTTTTTTTTCCTGCCATGTTCGGTATTTTTTGTGAAACTATCTGGCAACCCTACTTCCCATTTTCTTCGCACAATCAAACCCTGACCTTGCTTTAAGTTAGGATAAGGGGAAGCTGTCTACCAAATTTGATGGTCCTAGCTTTTACCATTTAGGAGGAGTTCTTGAGCAAATGGACTCACAGATGAATGGACAGACAGATGCACAAATACTTAGATAGACAGATAACTTTGAGGCCCCTCCCCTTTTTCCCCCACTAGAACATAACATCTGCTTTTTTTTTCTGTAATTACTCTGTGCCTGGCTCTCTTTCTTTCCTTGTCTTTAACCACTAGTTGTTACCTACTTCTGTTCTCTTAACCTCTCTTTCTGTTCCCATCCCATATTTGCTACATTTATTCTTTGACTTTTCTCTCTTTTTTTTGAACTCTGTTCTCTCCATCTCTTTCTTATCTCACCTGCTTATCTGCACTATTCCCAAACATTGGATATGTCATTGCAGTCTGAAAAAGCCATACTTAGCTGCTTCAGTCCAATACAGCCTTATGCCTGAACAGCCCAAGTCTTCAGGATTATCATGCTGCTAGCATTAGCATGCCCCAGGGTTGGTCCAGAAGAGCAATATCCTGCTTTCTCCAGTGAATAGTACCAGAAGGAAATAATATAGTTTTGATCTATCTCCTTTTGGTAATCAAAATGCTGGACCATCTTGCCAACCTTGAATAGGGTTTGGAGTCGGTAAATAATTGTGCATTTTTTTGTATATTTGGTAAACAGGAAAACTGTGGCATGTCTGTGTGTAACGGCAAAATCTATATCCTTGGTGGAAGACGAGAAAATGGAGAAGCCACAGACACCATTCTTTGTTATGACCCTGCAACAGGCATCATCACGGGAGTAGCAGCCATGCCCAGGCCAGTATCATATCATGGCTGTGTGACGATTCATAGATACAATGAAAAAAGCTTTAAACTGTAAAGAAGGGAAAACTTATGAAAGGATGCAGTGCCCTGGCACAAGACAGGATTTCAAAGATTCCTAAAATGGGAAACTGACTTTTCCCTCATTGCCATACGAAACTAAATCTCCATGTGCCTTTTAAAACAAACACAATGTTTTCAGTTAATTAAAAAGTAAACAAAAAAAAAAGTCTACAACCATATCCAGTAACTACTGTTCAATCATTTCTGGTGTGATAACAGTAAACTAACATTTACATAGTTTCCTCTTGGTGTACAGTAATCAAGATCTTGGATGTTACGTAGGGAAGGAACCTTCACAAGTAGTTGTGCCTAGATCTTAAGGACTGATCTCTATTGTTTTTTTGGTTCTCTCAGAGTCTGTTAGTTGAAAACATTTAACCAAGTTGACCTACAAAAAATATGTTGGTTTAAAAGAGTTTGTATCATCGTGATGTAGTGTTGTTGTAGCCCCAGGATATTCGAGACATTGGATATCTGAGGAGAATACATTTTAGTACATAAACTTCTGTTGGTGAGAACAAGAAGCTTTTGAGATTACATGGAGCAGAAGAAGAGCGCTGTATAAGCTTGAAAGCTTGTTTCTCTCACCAGGACAAGTTGGTCTAGTAGAAGATATTTTTTCACCCCTTGTCTCACAAGTATGTTCTTTTACCATAAGATTTCTTGGCTTACCAAATAGACTTTCTTTCATATTCACCCACTGCTTTAAATGTTTTAAATGCAATGCTTCATAGGAAATAAATATTAAAACCTTTGGTAAATAATTTTCCTCTGTATATGGGTAGGGGAATTGACGGTGTCATAAGAACGGCCATACTGAGTCAGACCAACCATCCATCTAGCCTAGTATCCTGTCTTCCAATAGTGGCTAATACCAGATGCCCCAGAGGAAGTGAACAGAACACATAATCATCAAGTGATCCCTCTCCTGTCACCCATTTCCAGCCTCTGACAAGCAGAGGCTAGGGACACTATTCATACCCATCCTAGCTAATAAGTATTGATGGACCTAACATCCATGCATTTATCTAGTCGTGGTTGTTCATTGAGCTGCTGCAAAAAGTTGCAGTAACTACTGTTTTCATAACAGATCTTCTAACATTTCACTATGGACCTTATTCATAGTGTTTCTAATAATTTATTAGAAGTCATACAAATACTGGACTATATGCATGCAGAAAAATAATGACCCTACAGCATAGGCACACATCTGAAGCAGTTTTGTGTCCCAATTCTGACCACCTTGAATTGTAAAGCTGAAGTCTGCTAATTCTTGATACCATCCTTTGCTAACTGTAAGGTACCATTCATCATTCTACTGTATAAATAGACGAGGAGTCCTGTGGCACCTTATAGACGTGTAGGAGTAGGAGCATAAGCTTTCGTGGGCAAAGACCCACTTTGTCAGATGCATGTGTATAAATAGAAACACTCATCAAGGGGGGCTTCTAACTCTATGAATTTCATAGTGTAAACTCTCTGTTGATAGAAAGAGCTAGCAACCACAGGCCTAACTCTGCTGTTTGAGTTAATCTTAATATGCAAAGTTCTGGGACATTGGCTAACTCTGTTTGTATAGATTTCTCTAGATAGTCACTTTTTCCAGTGCTATTGAGCTGTAAACCCCACAGAGGACATGTGTAGAACTGACACTTCCCACAAATTGTCAAAATGCCATCCAGAGAGGTGTTCATTTAGCCATGTGATTTGTAAAATCACAAACTGAATGGCTTAATTTTGAAGGTTTAAAGACTTCCAAAGTATCCTCCCAGATTTTGGCCCATTGCTTATCAATTAATCTGAAATTCTTATGAAGCTGTAAACCCCACAGAGGACATGTGTAGAACTGACACTTCCCACAAATTGTCAAAATGCCATCCAGAGAGGTGTTCATTTAGCCATGTGATTTGTAAAATCACAAACTGAATGGCTTAATTTTGAAGGTTTAAAGACTTCCAAAGTATCCTCCCAGATTTTGGCCCATTGCTTATCAATTAATCTGAAATTCTTATGA